TCACATTTTCTGTAAAGAAAATGATAACACGCTTGTGGTTTCCTCAGCCACTTCAGTCCAAATTCTCTTCATAATTTGGTTGCCTTCATGAACCTCAGTTTTGACCTTTGTTGTTTTTAAAGGTTTTATTAGTATTTGTTGCACAGCTGTACATACTTTCTAATTGGCAGCCTACTTATTCCGGATATTTGTTTTGCTGTGCAGATAGAAAGAATAGGGTCTTCATTTCCAGTAACTTACTGGAACAAATTTAGTCATGTGTGGATAAACATACAAATGTGTTTATCAAGTCACTCTTATTTAACCTTAAGAGCTGGATCATACTTTTTAAAAGAGAGAAAAAGTCTTGGCACTTAATTCCTTTCTCTGAGGCGGTATGTGATTTTTTTTTTTTTGGTGGGATTTTTATTGAGGGGGACAGGTGAGTTTATTTATTTATGGAAGGTTAGGATTGAAAGCACAGATTAAAGTTCAGAACTGAGACAAATTTCAGAAGTTAACAAGTGAAAAGCCTCATGAAGATAGAAATTGCTGTCTCTCCTGCCTTTCCCTAATTCATCTGAATGAAGCGTTTGAAAACAAGTGGCCACGAGCATGTGTTTGCATTCTTCAAAGTCAAGCTTTCTTTAGACTTTCCTGTACTTTTGTCAAGTCTTGGTTGACATGCCCTGAAATTCTTGCTGTAAGTAACACTGAACAGCCTTGGACACTGTTGATAACAGTGACTGTCTAACATAGCTAAATAACAATTTGGGGCAAATTCTGTTAATTTGCTGCACACTTAAAAGTACCATTTGAACCGAGACTCCTAGAAACAGACACTTGGATGTGATGCTTTGGTCATTCTGAATACTTCTGCAGAAACCCATTTGTTCAGGTAAACAATTGCAAGAAAGTTTACAGTTACTGAACTCCACCAGATTACATGTGTTCCTAGAACTTTTGGGGGTGTTTTCTTCTTTTTTCTAATTAAGTCCATTTGGTAACCCTGAGTGGTGCTCTTTCTGTGCCATCAGGTATGTAGTGTTGCCTGGATAAAGCTAAAATATTTATGGGGTGCAATTTGCAGAGCAAATACCTAAACTTGTTTTCAGAATTGTAACTAATTTTTAATTTTAATTCATTTCTGCAGTTCTGCTTACTCCAATGTTACGCTCTGTTCTAACGGGGGATTTATCGTTGTTTTCCATCCTTCCATCTTCTCACTTTCTGCACAGGCTTGTAAAAGAGGGAATTCTGATATAGTACGGCTTATGATTGAAAGCGGAGCAGACTGCAACATTTTGTCAAAGCATCAGAACAGTGCGCTGCATTTTGCTAAACAATGTAATAACGTACTGGTGTATGAGCAGCTCAAGAGTCATTTGGAAACGTGAGTAAACTGTACTTTGAAGTTTGTTGTGGTAAAGTTTGCAATACTGGGCATGTCATAATCATAATTTTGGTTTAAGTCAAGGGGAAGAGGGGGAGGTATCAGGGAAAAAAACTGATCTGGTTTGGGCAGAAAGCTAACTAATAAATCATGTGAAATGAAAATGATGTGAGCTAACAGAATTGGCAGACGCTTGCTTAAACACTGAATAAAAATATGGAAAGGAAGAAACAGGAATTATTAGAAGTGAGATTCCTTAAACTAGAAATACAGCAATTGGTAAAATTAAAGTGTACAAGCAGCGGATAATTGAATGCGAACTCTTGTAGGGCATGCCAAATAAAATACTCTGCTAAAAGCATAAGAAAAAATAGAAACACCACCAAACAAAACCACCATGTAAAGTCAGTGCAGGTAGTTAGGGTGTCGTTGGACCCTTAAACTCCCTCTGGTTTGTCCATGTCTTGTAGTGAGGAGCCTGAACTGAACACAGTACTCCAGGTCCCCTCCCTTGACCTACTGGCAATACCTAATGTGGCTCAGGATACCATTGGCCGCCCTTGCAGCAAGGGCACGCTGTTGGCTCCTGTTGAGCCTGGTGTCCACCAGGGCCTTTTCTGCCAAGCCACTTTCCAGTTGGGTGACTCCCAGCATGTCCTGGTGCCTGCGGTTGTTCCTCCCCAGGCGCAGGACTTTGCACTTCTCTTTGTTGAACTTCATGAGGTTCTTGTTGGGCCACTACTGCAGCCTGTCCAGGTCCCTCTGGATGGCAGCACGACCCTCTGGTGCATCAGCCACTCCTCCCAGTTTGGTGTCATCTGCGAACTTGCAGAGGGTACTCTCCATCCCTATCATCCAGATTGTAACAAAGGGGTTAAACAGGACCGGAGCCAGTATTGACCCCGGGGGTACACCAGTAGTGACTGGCTTCCAACTAGGCTTTGTGCTACTGATTTTTGCTGAACTAATGTGTTCTGATCCAGTTTCATACTGGGAGGAAAGTATTGTGATAGCAGTATTTTTAACACACTGTAAAGCTTGCCTGAGGTATTGCAGAGCGCTGCATCTAACCTCTGTCCTGAGCAGGTAGAAGCTCTAAGGAATGTTTTCTTCTTAGAGCAGGCTAAATGGGGGGGGGAAAAAAGTGCTAAAGGCATAAAAACCAATAATAATTTGTCAAACATAGAAACCTGCTTAAAGTGAGCAGGGGCAGTTGAAGTGGATACATGGATTCTTCCCCAGGGAAGGAAATCGTGACTTGTGAGTTAAGGTTTTTACGGCAACAGCAAGCATGCAGGTAGAAGTGATCTGGTACCTGCTGTTCAGTGTATTGAAATGTCATCACTCGTTCACTATTTGATGCCATTTCCAGTTTGTCTCCTGTTTAAAGTCTGCCACCTTCAGTTTTGGCTAATCTGAATAAGGAGGTTTGGAAGATCTTGAACACGTAATTTTACCAGCGAACTGGCAGTTGAAATTAAATATTGATAAATGCAAAGTGATGTCTGGGGGGGTATCACTGTAGTAATGTGAATTATACAGGGAGTAACACAGCTCTTGCCAAGTGAGGAAGCTTCTAGACTCATCACCTAAAAATACCAGTTCAGTGCTTCTTGTCAGTCAGAAAGGAAGCTAACACAGTAGTAGTGGAGCTGAAAATAGAACATAAATCCATGCTGTCCGAATGCCTTAAATAGCACGTGCCTTTCGAAAACAGATGTAGGAAAAAGGAAAAGTAAAGATGATCAGAGATATGGAGTAGCTACTGTGAGGATAGACTGAAGGAGGCGATACACATCACCTTGGGACAGATTAAAAAGTCAAATTTTAAAATAAAATCAGAAAACAACAACAAAAAATAACCCAAACACATGAGGCGAGCTCTACAGGCCATCCCGTTAAACGATTTAGTGATAGGTTTGAAATGGAGGAATATTTTTGCACAGAAAAACTGAATTATGGATCTCATGGTTGCAGAATGCTGTGGTCACAAATGCGTGGGATTGTAGAAGGGGTTAAGTAGATGTGAGAAGAGGTGCAATTTGGCTGCAGTCTCTAGTTTTGGATGCCTCTAAATCAGATTGCTGGAAACTAGGACAGTGTACCAAAGAAAGACAACTGTTTAATTTCCCATATTTAATACGGCTTTGTCTAGCATCTGGAGAGGAGGCTAGATGGGCTTCCGGGCTTGCTTTGGTACGGCAGTTCTTGTGGTTTCTTTCCAATCAAACACTTGAGTTCTGGATTCTGCAGATGGTAATCTGAGCTAGCGTGGAGGGGAAGTCTGCTCTGAATAACAGCTCAAAAAGCTAACGAGAGAGCTGAGGGCCGGGACCTTTGCCTTGCAAGAGCATTTAAACCCCATTTGTGTCCAAACACCATTCTGAGGAGGATTACTTGGTAACCTGCTCATAAAAGTGCCAAACACTGTTGGTTAATGCAGTCTCCCTTTTGAAGGCGAGGCTGCTCGCTTAAATTAACACCAGGTGACACAAAACCCAAACAAAAAAACCCCGAATTTGGCTACTAATGGTAGTGTTGATACTTTTTCACTGCATTTTAGTAGACTTAATTGGGAACTGCATTTTTTCAATAGTATTGCAAATAAAATTATACAGCAAGTTATTTACCTATTAGTCTGGTTGAATAAATCAGCCACGCTGGGGAGGTGGTTATCTGTTTCTGTTTAGGTACATACTGATGTTTCAGGGACATCTTTCTACATAAAAAGCCTTCAAAATACGTGGCTAGCTGGATATTTTTTTTAATCTGCTGCAGTGCATTTGTCTTAGCTTTTTATTTTTGTGCACCTGGTAGATTAATTTCACAAACAGATCACTGGCAAAATGTTTTATTAACAAAGTATTGGGACTTGGGGTTCATCTGTGTGTAAACGCTAGTGATGAAGGCATTCATGCCTGAAAATCGGGAATGCAAAAAGGTAATCTGGAATCCTTTTTTGCGTCAGGTCTCGTTAAGTCTGGTAAAGTAATTTTACTGTGTGTAGCCTCACTTGTTTGGTCTTTTAGGCTCTCAAGAGTAGCAGAAGATACCATCAGGGATTATTTTGAAGCTCGTCTTGCTTTGCTGGAACCAGTCTTTCCAATCGCGTGTCATCGTCTCTGTGAAGGGCCAGACTTTTCTACGGATTTTAACTATAAACCCCCCCAAAATGTGCCAGAAGGTAGGGGTTTGTTGTTGTGGTGGGGTTTTGTTTGGGTTTAAAAAAATCAAACCCCAAAAAACCAGCGCGTTAAGAAGTTGCCTTGTAAGTATGTCTTAAAGTATCTGCTATGAGAAATTATTTTTGAATGACATTTTATTGTAGCACATTACATTAAGGATGCTCTGATTATGGAGCATAGGGGGAGGAGCAATGTTTTGATGCATTGGGGGGGGGGTTGTTTGTATCTTTGTTTTTTAAGAGGGTTTTCTTATTGCCACATACACAGCTTCTTTCCTCCTGTTCATAGGTTAACCTTAGGTTTGTGAGGGTTACATTAGCTAAATGACAGGTATTACAGGAAGAGTGGTTTACCTTAGAATTAATAATTTTGAAAAATCTTAATCTAAGAGCATACTTAGAAAATCTTGTATGGATCATTGTGTTTTGTAGACGGTATCTAATGCGCTGGAATCTTGGAGTATAGTCATAGCACTATCGTGGTACAAACGCAGTTTACAAATACGATAAAAAAGAAGCCAGCATCGATCAACTCTGTTTTGCCTTTGCAAAAGCTGGGAATCACATTCCCAGGATACTTAGGAATGTTTCTTCATTCTTTCAGGAATCCAGATACTAATTAATCTCAGTGCAGTTCGTAAAGATCTGTAACTGGCTGGGCTCAGTTGTCCCTGCCAGGAGAACAGACAACCCAAACCACGTTGAATTCATAACTCTCTTTAGGTAAACCTAAAACCACAGGGGCGAAGTGTAGTGAGGATTGCTGTATCCCTTTTGCTTTCCTTTCTAACAGCCACATCAATTATTTCTGCTGCCAAAAGACCTTAACTTAGTGACCAGGTCAGTTGTGTTCTGTGCTGGGATCCACTGGCTTGGGAAAATGGATTTCTGCATCTTGCTTTGATACTCCATTGGTGTTTAATATACACTATATAATACTTGTTTTAATGTATACATATGTACCTGTCTTCAAACATGCAGTGTATGCGGTTGTAAATAATGGATCTTATTTCAAATGCATGTGACTGAACTGCCTTCCCTTTCAGGATCTGGAATTCTTCTCTTTGTTTTCCACGCAAATTTCTTTGGTAAAGAAGTCGTTGCTCGGCTCTGCGGACCATGCAGCGTACAAGCTGTGGTTTTAAACGACAAATTCCAGCTCCCTGTATTTTTGGTAAATCTTTTCGTATATAACTGATTGACTCTAAAACTGCTTTATAAAGTCTTTATGGAGCGGACTGGGAAATCTTAGTGCCTTGATTTGGGTTTTGTGGTGAAGCATTTTTTTATCATGATGGGTTTGTTTGTTGTTTTTTTTTTTTTCTTAATGAAATTTAATTATTCTTTGTATGTAGAGAGAGAACTACAGCCCTTGCATATACTAGACTCCACAAAAATGTATGCCTTAAAAGGCAGGGACACAGTGCTGGACAACCTGCTTCTAGGTTGCCCTGCTCGAGCACCAGATGGTGCCTGGTTGGAGCAGATGAGCTCCAAGGTCCCTTGCAACCTCAATCCTTCAGTGATTCTGTGGCTTCAGAATGGAGGGCTTGAACAGGCAGGTGAGAATGCTGAATTTTAAGCCGTTTCACTTTGCCTCTCAAATTTTTGACCCAAGTTAGTTCTTACTTGGCCTTGTTTTAACAACCTACCTCATATTTCTAATGACAAATTTCTAATTTTTGATATTTTTTTTTTCTAAAATCCATTAAATGCGTCACCAACCATGCTTTTTCAAGTCCTTTTGTTTTCTTTGGTTCCACCAAAGGTTCTTTGCAGTATACACAACTTCCTTTCAAAAAATGCATAGTTAAAATGTTGTGTTCTATCAGTCCAACTCACATAGCACTTGCAGCCATATCCTGCCATTAATGTTGTCCGTTTTCTCTTTCCTTTCAGGATAGTCACTTTATTTATTCCTTCAGCCCTACTGCAGGCCTTAACAAGCTTTTTATACGGTTAGCAGAAGCTCCTACTGCCAAGGTACAACATGCTCTCAAAATTAAATGTGTACGTTAACTTGTGGTACAACAACTCTTCCATAGTCCAAATGCTTCTACTTGTATGTTGCAAATGTAAAACCAAGGACTCTCCGCCATCTCCTCGTCCCAGTTCCCATCGGTTACGGTTCCATCCTTTGATGCTGCTGGAACTTGGGAACATTGCAAGGGTGTTAGTTCTGTCGAAATTAAATGTTTTGTGCTGCAGTCAGAATACGTCATGCAGCAGGATAAAGTAATGCTACAGCTAAACACTTTCCCCATCTACGCTGCGAGTTTAATGACTAACAGATACGTGGAGTGTTGGTTATTTTTTGCATTCAGATGTTTTTGCTTGTGTGTTTAGGAGCACTTGGAAGTATTTGCTAGGATATGCGGTCTGCTTTTGAGTAGTCTGTGTAGTCTGTTGTGTTTTCCAGGTGGTTTGGGCAGTTGTCCCACTACGTGTTGCAAGATGAATAACAGATCCTGTTCTGGTAGCATTTATTTTAGCCTTGGAAGATGCACCAGGAAATTGTCTAGATCTTCAGATTTAGAATTTATACTCTTAGATGTTTTATTATCCTTTTTTTTTTTTTTTTTTTCTAAAGGGCAAAAATTGAATTTGTATTCAGGTGCAAGTGCATGTGTACGGCTAGTTCAGATTTGGGGCTAACTTGTTTAAACACCACCGACACAGTGGTGTTCTGCTCAAGTCCTCTTCCAAGCCATTCGTACTGCAGTAGGGCTGCTAGAAACTGATTGCATTAAACACGGATTCCAAATTCCTTTTCTTTTCCCCTTTCTGGGTCACTCGCAATTTTGTATGCCTTTCCTTGTGGCTTTTCTTATATTGGAAGTGCTTAACGCAGCAGTTACCTGTGAACGATCTTTATACGAAACCTTTGTTTGCTTTTACAGGTGAAGCTGCTCATAGGCGCGTACCGAGTGCAGTTGCAGTGACCTCAGCTGTGAGCACGTTCAGTGGACTGATGCTTTTTTGGACATACTTCTGATTTCCTCTCTTTAGAGACTGACGAAGCAGTTTGGAACTTTTTGGCACCACGCTCCTAAGACTTAAGTTCCCATCTCGCTGTCGCTTGTTGGCAGTCACATAGGAAAGGGGGTGTTGGAGAGCAGTCGCATTCGCTGCGCTGGTGGGACAGGGTTGTCAGCTTTTTTTACTCTGTACAGATGTAGATGTAAGTATTTGTGCCAATACATATAATTCTGTTTTTCTTTAACTTGTGGAGTCCAGACTGCATACTTCAGCTTTTCCACAATGTGGAACGGTACATATAAGAACTATTTAAGGTAACCATGTGAAATGTCTTTTTTTTTTTTTTTTTTTTTTTAATAGAAAGATCTTTTCCATTTGTAAACTAAAATTTTGTACTCACTCTAACTGTATCGTTTCTATGTAAAATGCAGAACGGAGCCGTGGGCAGAAATTACAGTTTGAAGTCGCTGCATTAGGTTTCACTTTGGATTGCTAAAGGCCGTGTTCTGGTTTGAAACTTTTCCTGCTCCTGTCCCCTGACGGGGAAGCAGTTTTGCTTCCAGCGGTTCCCCTGGAACGCCCGCGGTTAGGCCTGCAGGTGCGAGCCGAGGCGCCTGAAGAGGCCCCGTTCCCAGAGGATGGCAGTCGGACTCGTAGCTGTAGCGGTGTTGTAAACTGCTTCTGTCTGAGAGAAGCAGCTGAGGGTTTTACAGACATCGCGACTTTTGAGTTCTTAGTCAAGTGACGTGTAGGAAAACAAACACAAGCTGAAAATAGCACACCAGAAAACTTGTAACTACTGTAAACGTGCAGGCAATGCTTTTTGTAGACAAGAAGAAACACAAAGGATTTCAGATGTTCTCGGCCTGACAGATGAGAACATGTATTGGCCTTGAATTCAGAAATTCAGTCCCTCAGTGCAAAGAGCTTTTTTTTTTTTATTTAAATGACCCATTTTATCAGACGACAGCAGTTCTGCAATGGTCCTGTGCTATAAAATACAAATGTAATACTTCTGCATGAAGTAGAGAGTATTTTTCTTTGTAAATTAACCAACATCTTGAAAAGTTTAAGAAAAAAAAAAAAAATCCAGCTTGTGCCTTTGCTGTTCTGGTTGCCCTGTGTCGTTTACGTGCCACTATGTGCCTACCTTGTTAGCAGAACTATTGCGGATAAATTCTTAATGCATCTGAGCGCTCACCGTCAGAGTGGGGCAGGTGTATTAAGTATCCTTTCAAAAACTGTGACTTTTTTAGTATAAAGGTCAATTAACCAATTTTTTAATTTTTTGTTCTTGAAAGTTTAAAACTTTCCTATTTAAGAGATGCCAAATGAGCAAGTAACAAAGCACACTATTTCGACTTTGTGGAATGTCACATTAAGCTGTACGAAACTAGAACAGCAACGCGACATACAGGTACTCAGTCCTGGTTGGAGCTGGAGCGGTTGCCTATCGCTCATCTCTTTGCAAGCAGTATTGCTGAGACGTTAACAGGTCTGGGTTTTGAACAGACTTGGTACCTCCACCTCTCCGAAAGACATTAGATACCTCATCATTTGGACAAGTGTGAACACCTGCCGTGCATGGAAAGCACTGGCTGAGCAGCAGGTGTGTCACCGCCAGCACCTGGGACTTTGTGTAGGTGTATTTTATTTTTTTTTTTTTTTTTTAGTTGCTGTGTGTAACCCTGGCAGGTGAAGGGGAGGCTCGTGGTTCCTTACGTTGGAGTGGCACGGCCGCCCCTTCCTCGGTTACTCCTGCGCTGCGCAGGTGACAGCCTAGCGCCTGTGCGGCGCGCTGCGTACGGCACCCGCCAGCGGTCAGCGTTCGGGCTGCTCAGGGTGGGCACAAAAGAGTTTTGAACAAATGTCCGTATAATGTAGAACCTATTTAGAAACTGTTGTACAGTCTAACCTAAAAGTGTCTCGTAAGGCTCCAAGAGTTGACGTAGCACGTAGTTTGTCAAAGGCTGTTGATTTTGGGGATTTGTTTTGTTTGAGGTTTCTCCCCTCTCCCTTGAGGCATTTGGGAGAGGAGGAGTTCTACAGGACATGGGAATAAAATTTGGGTTCATGATGGGGATGGATTTTGCAGCCTGGTGATATAAATTCAGAATCCCCACCGAAGGTGCATAAAAGGCATATGAAAAGATGTTTGAATCTGGTCTTTGTCTGATTTTATTATGTGGTTTTTATCCAGGTGCTAAGAAAAAGGTTTTAGTGGACAAAAGATGAAGAAAAGTAGCTACAATAAAAACCAAAGCTTTAGGCTCTGTGGAGAAATACCTTTGGAGTCCTTGCTCAGCTCCTTGCTGCGAGCGGTCAGCAAGGCAAAGCAGCTGCAGGCACTACAAACTGCAATAAATTGTTCTGACGGCTTGGACTCGTTATCACTGCTCCATCAGCATGCGTGGTCCTGGTTCCTCTCACAGACACTGAAGGTTGGTGGGTGATGCAGCTGACTCCATCACAGGTCCGCTGTGCTTTCTGCACCCAGTTTTCAATAATGAGGTGGTTTTTGATCAGTCTGGATGGAAGGAAGCTGTTTCAGCTAGCACCGGGTGCAGCTGCCACCTTAGCAGAGAGGATTGCTCCAAAGTGCCTGACAGCCGTCCTAAAATGGTCTTTCTGCCTGTCTGTACCTGCTGTAGCTCCGTTATCATCATTTGCCTTCCCATACAGTACTGGAATGCAGCGATGTAAAATCTTTCCTTTAGGTCAGTCTTTCAGAGCAGTGCCAGGCCAGTTGTGTGGG